TCTTGCATAATCTGGTCTTTGTCTGAACTTTCAGACTCCTTCTGGCCCTCTTCATCCTGCATTGTTTCCTCTTCTGACGTTTCCTTCTGTAATGGTTGTTCCTTCTGTTATGGCTGTATTGTGGCCTTTTTGCATTATAAATTTGGCTCCTTCTGGATCTGCATCTTTGCTCTTTTTGTACCACATTTTTTTCATTTGTAGAATGCGACATCGTTAGCAGAGCTCTAATCTGTCTTCCCATTAAAGCTGATGGGCTTTCTAGTCTTCCCACATGTGATATCGTACAATAACTATAAAAGCAGCCTCGGTAGAAAAACTTCTTTTTCTTTTTGCTGAGAGCATGCTTTTAGCCCCGTTTTTACAGTCTGTACCATTCTTTCTGCTAATCTGTTTGATTGAGGGTGATATGGAGGTGTCTTATATGGTTTACACCCTATTTTTTCTAACCATATGTTAAGTTCTTCCTCACAAAATTCTGGTGCATTATCAGATACCAAGGTTTTTGGTACACCATTTCTGGAAACTATGACTCTTAGAATCTGCTTTATAGTAGAACTTTTCTTGTTTGTAACCCGGATTATTTCAGGCCAACCTGAAAAGGAGTCTACTAGTATTAATAAGAGTCCCACTACATTAATGTATGCATGATCCATATGCACATGACTCCATGGCTCCACTTCTTTGGGCCACAAATGTAATTTGGTTTGTGTAAAGTTTCTTAATTCTTTACATTTTTTACACCTTTTATATATTCCTCAATGTCTCTTGAATATCCCGGCCACCATGCTTTTAATTTTATCCTTTTTTGTGTGGCCGCTACTCCTCAGTGTATATCATCATGTACACTTTTTATTACCAATTTTCTTTATGTTTCTGGGGGAACTACCAGGTCCCCATTGCAAATCACTTCATGTTCTATTGTTAATTTGTGTCTTATTTCTTTGTAGGGTCTTTCCACCCTAGAACAATTTCCCCACGAGTTTTTTCTTATTCTCGATACTATCCTACTTAGCACTGGATCATGTCTCGTTTCCGCAGCCATTCTATCTAAAGACAAAACATCAGTCTATCAAGTGTAGGAATGAATCTTCAAATTCTTCTTCTGTTTTATCTTTTGACTCCTTGTAGAACCTCAATCTTGATAGTGCGTCCACATGTGGAATTGAATTTCCTTTGACATACTCTATATCAAAGTCAAATGCCATCAATCTTATCGCTCATCGTAGAATCCTTGATGTCGTGACTTTGGGTAATTCTTTCCTTGGGTTAAATATAAACTCTAATGGTCTATGATCACTTCTTAATAGAAATTTTTTCCCCAATTAAAAATTGTCGGGCTCTGGTAGTTGTCCACACGATAGCCAATGCTTCTTTCTCTATGTTTGAGTAATTGAATTCAGTGTTCATTAATCTCCTCGACAAATACATTATCGAATGTCCTTCTTGTGATAATATTCCCGATATTGAATGTTCACTTGCATCTGTAATGAGTGTTATGTCCTTTTTTGGATCAAACATTTTCACTACAGGTTTCTTTGACATAATTTCTTTTAATCTTTCAAAAGCTTTTTGCTGTTCATCTGACCACATAAATTCCACATTCTTTTTTCTTAAATTTGCAAACGGTTCGTCAAGTCCGTGTATCACCTGTAAAAATTTACCAATCCCAAAAAAGACTCCAATTCTTTTTTATTTGTAGGTATAGCTACTTTTAGTATTTTTTCTATCAAGGCTTGGTCTGGTGATATACCTTCTTTTGAAATGGAATAACCTAAAAAAGATATTTTGTTAGAATAGCTTATGCATTTTTTTTCATTTATCGTCATTCCAGCATTTCTTAATCTATTCAAGACTAAATCAGTTTTTTCTTTTAATTCCTTTTCATTAGTAGCTCCTATGCATATGTCGTCTTGGTAACAAATCATATTTTGTACATTTCCTAAAACCTGTTCAATGGCCCTTTGAAATATGGCGCTTGCGGTTTTTATCCCATATGGCATCCTTTTCCATCTTAGTAACCCTATTGGCATATTTATTGTAGTTACTTCTTTGAAGTTTTCGTCTATTGGTATTTGGTGGTATGCTGTTTTTAAATTTATTTTTGAAAAAACGAACATCCCTGCCAGTGCATGTAATGCAAGTTCAACATTGGGTATGGGATATGAATCCGAGCATATCTTGTGATTTACTCCTATTTTGTAATCTCCACAAATACATAAATCACCATCTGTTTTCCTCAAAACTACAATTGGTGATGCCCACTTGCTACCTCCCAGGTGGAACATGTTCAAGAAGGTCTTGTTCTACTAATTTACATAGTTTTGTCACTACTAATAGCAATAAATGTACTGGTAATTTTCGTGCCTCATAATAAGAAGGGAAACATTTTCTTTTTACTTTTAAACTTGCTTCATAGTTTTTAACTTTCCAGTTTTTCCATTTTTATTTCATTAATTAACTTAGTAGAATTTATATTAAGCACGTCATTTCCAATAAGCCCATGGTTTTTTTTGCAACTTGTAACAACTATAGGTATTACTTCAAATTTTTCTTTTAACTCTAATGAACCTTTAAAGTATCCTAATGTTTTTATAACCAACCCATCAAATTGGCGAAGTTGTAAACTGCTTTTTCGTAAAGGTGGCTTACCAATGTGTTCCCAAAAATTCTTTGGTATCAGTGTTACTTCACTCCCAGTATCCATTTGCATATCGAAATTGCAGTTATTAATTTTGACCTTTACTATAATGTCTTTTTTCTTATGTTCAATTCATTTTAAAGTCTTATTTTCTAATGTAAAAACTTCCCTATCGGTGTCATTTTCTTCAATTCTTTCAACATTTTTCTTTTTTAATTTAAACACTGCTTGAAAGTGGTTCTTTTTTAAGCAATTATTACAAGTTTTTCCAAATGTTGGACACTTTTCCTTTTTCATGTCCACAATACGAACACTTTTTTATCTTTAACATGTACGTATCAGCGAATATGTTTTCGCTGGGTTGACTTTTATAATGGTTGTATGTCTGTATTAGTTCTTGTTGCTGAATAAAGTCAATACATGTATTTAAAGACATATTTCCTATTTGTAATTGTTTCATTATTTTATATCAGTGTGACGCATTGACAATTAATCTTAATTGAATCAAGTCCTCTTCAATAGTCTGTTCATCTTGTCCAAGTTTTTCAAATTCACAATATCTACTTGCATTTCGTAGACGGTGTAAATATTTTATAATTGGTTCGTCAATTTCTTGTTTCATTGACATGAATTTTGTTCTTTCTGCCACTACCAGCCTTTTCTTGGGTCTCATATTTCTCCTTATAATCTGACTTATTTTATCGAAAGTCAGGTTTTCCAAATTTAAGGGATATGCCATGGTGGAGACTTTCATTATCGCCTCGCATCCAGCTGTAGCCAAAAATAAATCCGTTAATTTCATTTCGCCTCCCTTTTCCTTGTTGTCTTTCAACATTTTTGTTCTCGCAGTGGCAGAGAAACAACGAATCCATGTATCCACGAAATCTGGATCTTCCAGAGACAATTGATATCCTATTGGCGATGCCATTGTTGTGAAGTTGAAGTTAGCACTAATCAGCCGCTAAGCACGTACTTCTAACTCATTATTCCCAGTGACCACATATGAGTGTTCACTTATGCTTATGCAAATTATGCATACTAATTTGCTAGTATCACTACACTACCATTGGAGAATGGAACACAAAATACAAGAATAGAAGAGACCAAGTTGTGTTGAGCTGCCTTCACATAGGAGGCCACACCTACATCACTCACCATCATTTACTGGAGGGTACAGAATCCCCAATATGAACGACATGCCAAAAAAGATTCACAGTTCAACATATACTGCTTCAGTGGACAAACTTTAATCGAGTGCAGAAACAACATTACCAAACAAGTAATTTGAAGAAACTGTTTATGGAAATAATACCATGTAGGATACTAGATTTTATAAAACCAATTTCAATGTACTCAAAAATATGAGTGGGCAAATAGTATTGATATATATATATATATATATATATATATATATATATATATATATATATATATATATATAGAAAAAGTTCATTTTCTCCAGCAAGACATTCATTTCTGTAGTTTACTGCTACCAGCAAGCAGAAATATTTCTCCCTGATGATGGCCATTTTGCCGAAACTAGTCGAGAATCTAAATGAAATAATAAAAAAACTGAGAATATTAATCTACAACCCAGTGTGTCTGAAGATTTTAATTTTTTAATATTTTTTATTGTCCATATATATATATATATATATTATATATATATATATATATTCTTCCAAACTATGCTAAATCCATTCCAAAACAGTGTCTACTAAATCTAAATGAAATAATAATAAAAAAAACGAAAGAATATTAATCTACAACCCAGTGTGTGAAGATTTTAATTTTTTAATATTTTTTTTATTGTCCAATATATATATATATATATATTCTACCAAACTATGCTAAAATCCATTCCAAAACAGTGTCGGCATTAAATGACCCACTGAAGTTGATATGCCATAAAACAAAATAACCAACCAACCAAAACCATTAACTCATCAAGAGTAGGCTATTACCAATTTATCTGTGAGGGTTAAGTGCCAAAATATACCTCTGAAGTTAATATTAAATTATCAACTGTTTGTATATTTGCTATATCTGTTCACAAACTGTAGAAATTTCAGCATGTACTTAATGCTTTTAGCATTTATTTTGTTACTGTATCTGTAAGCAATGCATTTACATATGTCATAAGGAAAGCATAAGACTAAATTTTTCATATGTAACATAGAAGATTTCACTGAGTACTTCACAATAAAAATGCAATAAGATGAAGAAAATTACTCAAAACTTATTAACTACTGTGAAAACAACTATAACTTATTAGAAACTCTTTGAGGAATTTTCTATGCTCCAATTTTTTTTTATTCTCTTAAAATTTATATTTAGAAATAGTGTAAGGCTAACAACTCACCTTCAAGCTCAAGTCGATAGAGTAATGATGCAGCATCAACAATATCCAACATGGCACCTGATGTTGCAAACCGTGGGCGAATCTGATGAAAAATTTGTATCAAGATTAAATAAAATATTCAATTCTAATCTTTAGAAAACTTTTCAACTTCCTAAATGAAAAAAAAAATGTTACAATGTAAATATGGTGGTTTAATCTAGAAAAATCAAAACCAGTTATGGTGAAAAAAAAATAAAGTGCATTTATCCGAAAAAATAGTGAATACTTATAATTTGAATTAAAATTATAATTTATGACAATATTATTTCAGTGTTAAGAAAAATATAGAATTTAATTAAAATTTTATTAAAGTGTTTAATCAGTATCTATTTTGATATTATTTTCTTTAAGTATTATCTAAACTTGAAAAGGTGATTTGTTATTTAAAAAAATTTTTTTTTTTTAAATTGGTTAAGAAAATATTTGGAAATTTTAGAGATCATGTCTTTTCAAGGGTTTGAGTCAGTTCAGAGTAGAATGGTTGAACTGAAAAGAATTGAAACAGTTGATAGATAGGAAGAGAAAGCTATTAGATTTTGTCAGTAACAAAACAGTGAAAATATAAATCTTTAAATTTGATTTTATCGAGTCAAAAATAAATTGCCTCAAAAATGTATAATCATAAAAATCTGGAAATGACGTATTTTAGAATGCAGAAATATATTTTGAGTATATATAGAGTTGTTTCCCTTGAATCGATTTGACTTTGGAGTTGGAGCTGAATAGGTAGAAAAAGATCAAAAGAATTATCAAATATAGGTTAAAGTATTACTTACAGCTTTTTCATATATGCTTACAGCTTCTTCATAATTTCCCTATATAGAAAGGAAACAACAAATGGATATTTACTAAATCAAATTCTTAAAAAACGAACACAACCAAACAACAATTTTTTTTTTCATAAATACATCCAGAGAAAGGCAATAAAACCACTAAGTGGCAAGAGGTTACTGAGTGTAAGAAAATATAAAATGAAAACACATAAGGAGAGAAAACAATAAAAGAACAGGAATTAAGAAAACAAGGTAATGAAGGAGAGTTGGTGGATATCAACACTAGCATGACAGTGGCCATGGCAACTGGGTAATTTTTGTTATTCATTCTTACATATGCACATGGGTACCCAATATTAAAGTGACCTTGTGGTGTCACATTATTGCCACAGCATGTCAACTTCTGTTGGTTATTTAATACCAAAATCTAACTGCCAGCCATTAAAGTCTTCCACTGCTGCATATGTAGATATGGTTCACCTTCCACAAAAATGACACACCAACCGTTACAAGTTATTTTTCACTTCTGTTCAGAATCAAAGTTGAACGTAAAATATGGTGACCAAAACAAAAAATATGTTAAAGTAAAAATAAAATTGTATACTAAAACATGACATGTGACTTGCAGTTACCTTTGCCACTTGATGAAAATTAAATTTATTTAAACTATAATTTAACTAAATTTCAATCAATGTAAATATGTAATTTAGTTTTGTTTAACAATAATGGTTACAATAACATAATTATTACAAAAATATTTAAATAATATATATGTATATAATGGCTGACTGCTAGTATCTGAGTATGCCTGTCTACTAGGGTGGCTAGCAAATCCCTGTTGCAGACGCTTGCTCAGGCACAATTGTGTTTGTTCAACACCCACAGAGCCCACCTGTGATTTATACTGCAACTGTTATCTGGTGTGATCAATGGTATGAAGAATGCCAGCCTGCTCAAAACCTTGATCACGATGACTCCCAAAAAGTCCTGCAGTTAATAGTAAAAATACATAAAAATATGTATATACTTACTCTTTCAATGTGATAAAGTGCCCAATGCCAATAATTGTGACATGCCAACATCCCACAGGACTGTAAAATAAAATTTAAAGTTAGTTTTACTCATATTCCTTCTCTTCTTCTATGTGATATGTCCCTTTGGAAATGTTGGTGATCATGGTTCTCCACAATTTCCTGTTCTTTGTAGACCTTAATAAATTTTGACTTATTGTTATCTCTCTTCTACCATCCATTTACTCAAGCTTGCTAAGTGTTCTTCTCTTCTGTTCCTCTTGCCTTCAATCTGTCCTGTGAGCATCAGATTTTCCAAGTCCTCTTTCCTCATTATGTGCCCGAGAAACTCCAACTGTCTCTTTCTGATTCTAAGTGTCCTTTTTGTTTCAGTTTCCATTAAAATTTTGTCATTGCTCTAATCTTCAGTCCATGGTATTCACAGTATCCTTCTGTATATGAGTTACTCCACTTCGCTTTGCCAAATGCCCATGAGGTGGCACCTTTTAAATCATTAAAAAGACAAATCTTTCCTTCCACTTTCTCTCTTTTTTCCTCTTGATCCAAGATGTAGTAAGGTATCCTTGTTGGGGTGCATTCTTTCCCCCAGTTGACTGACAACACACACACACACACAAGCACATTCTTCATAGCTAAGTTTTTAATATATTTTCCTTTACTTTCTATTGTGTACACACTAAATGTAATTTAGTCGTGTTAATAAATGCATTAATAATCATTTGTTTTAAAATCTGTGTGTTTCTTGTTTTTACCTGAACTCATACGAGTCCACCAAATATTGTTTGTGGGATAAATGTTCTAGAAGCCATTAAATATTTACTGAAAAACATCCAGAAATCTCAACTAAAGTGGAAATTCCCACAACATGTAGAACCACATTTCTGTTGCTTCAAGTCTCTTCTTCATCTGAGAAGATTGTCCCACAATCATTGCCATATAGGAGGATTTATATTACATAACATTTCAGTACTCTTTTAATCAAGAAGTGTCAAGCATTCAATATTTTTTGAACATGTTTAAAATGCAGAAAAAAATTTTGTCATAAAAAAAATGCAAATATTCATGATAGCTGAGGAAAAAAATAAAAAATGAAATGATTAAATATTTTTGTATAAAATAATGAAAGCACGGAAATATGTTTATTTTTTAAAAACAGAAAATATAATAAAATAATAATTTCTATATAAAAATATCTAATAAAAATAATTTTTAACAAAAGTTATTTTATGCAGCAATTAGTAATTGTTTTTTCCTCTTTCACTGAAATATATTCCTGTAGCAAAATTTATACATATTCATAAAAACGAAGTATTTGCTCCTGTCCTTTATCAGCGTTTCTCAACCAGAGTTCCCAAGAACCCTAAAGTTCTGCAAAAGGTCCCCAAGGATTCCACAAGAACAAGTGAGATAAACTAATGCACTTTTGACTTTTTATTTAATTTCATTTTCGTAATATTACTAAACATACCCAATATATTCTTGGTTATTCTATTATAGACATCATCCTATCTAACCTATTAGGTTATTAAAAAATAAAACAATCATTGGGAATATATTTAGTGATATCTGTTTAGCACCAGTTTGAAACCACCTTCACTAGTCAGTTCCCACTCAGCAAATGTGGCCTGTACTTAAAGTTACTTATTTCTTTGTTTTTTCTTTATTTTTACAGAAATACCTAATCACCCAATGTGGTGATTTTTGAAGAGGAAACATTCTGACGATATGGTATATAATTTTGTTTTTGCGCAGGGATTCCTTAACACATGTAATTTATCTTAAGGGTTATGCAAGGGTAAAAAGGGTTGAAAAACGCTGATTTAGACAAATAGTTTTATATGTTCAACCTTCAATTGCTTTTGTCATATTTTGTGTTACCCTTGTTTGTTTGTATTTTCAGACTGACTAGTTTTATTTATATGTATTTATTTCTTTTTCTAGTTTTACTCTCTTGGCTTTTAATAAACCTGCTGATGAATGGAACTGTCTTCAGAGTATTAATTGCTGTAAGGCATTTATCTGGCTGTCTTTGAGATTATGGATGCATACTCTTGTGGGTAGAACAGGAACCACTTTTTAAAAGATGATCAGACTGATATAAACAAGAACATAGAAATAAAAATGGAATTCAGTATACTTACTGACCAATCTGTTTCCGTCTTTTCTAGGAAGTCATTGCCTTCTTTTTGTTGGCCTAACATTTCATTGACATGACAAATAGCATGTGTAGCCCAAGCATCTCTCTTGTTCAGCGATAAAGCCTGGAGAGTTAAATAAAAAAATTAACTTAAAATAGAATCCACAAAAGATGTTGTTGCATTCAACTGTACACATAAATTGTTTAGTATTTTTCTTTCTCAACTCTCCAGGAAAACTTTGGCATTCAGCTTCTTGATCATATTAAATTGGTCTTTTGAGATCAAGAAAAATATTGTCTGAAGAATATGTCAGCAGAAATGTTTGGCGACAAGAGAATGTAGCAAGTGACAGGGCCAGAGTACAGAGCAAGTGATGCTTCATCAGTCATGTATCAAAAGATACATGATTGCCTAAGCGTGTATCACACATGGCACATAACTGAGGCATGCTGGAGTAATGGATAGTGGCTTGGATTGAGGAATCGGAGAGCTGAGTTTGTATTCCATTTGAATCCATTACATTCACTTACATGCTCATACCCTTGGGAAAGGTATGAATCCTCTTCTCCTCCCAGCTATGGGTAAATAGCAGGAGAGACCAGGTTCTATAACCTTGGATAGCAACTGGTCTACTGCAGAAAGAAATGGCAACCTATTGCAGGAAAAAGTCTGCCTCATCAGTCATGTATCAAAAGATACATGATTGCCTAAGCGTGTATCACATATGGCACATAACTGACTGATGGGGCCAGAGAACAGGGCGAGTGACAAATGATAGGAAAAAGAAAAGTGAAGGATCACTGCCAAAAATTGCATGGTCTAATGAAAATAACATCTCAGAAGTTCAGAAATATGATCCATATCAGAATTTGAGTCCATTACTCTTCGGTGCCCCTCCTCATCTGGGCTGAGGGTATCCCCTTTGATCGCAGAGGTAAATCTCTTCAAATTCTTTCATTTTATTTGGGTTTTAAAGTAAATTGAATAATTGTCAATGAATGTGTTTTTTTATTTTATTTTTGAGATATAGAATTGTTAACGTACATTAATTTCTCCATACTTGTTCACATCTGGATTATTATAGATGTTATTCTAGACAATTCTTTAAAAATGAATTACACAATTAAAACACATCTGGTCTTAAATTTCTTGTTTTATCAAATAAATATCAGAATTTCTGTACCTTAAAGGCAGACTTTTCAGCTTCAGAAAACAAATTATTTTCTTCTTGGCCAAAAGCCAACATGCCATACAAATAACTGGAGAAAGAAAAAATAAAATAATGTATAAACTATATGAACCCCAAAAGATTTCAATGATGAAAAATATATAGTTCTTCAATCTATATAATATGCCACATATATATATATATAGATATATATTTACATTTTTCTGTGTGTGTGTGTAACAAATGAGGAACAGTGTGCAAAGTTTTTTTTGTGTGTACCAATTGAGAGGAAATGTGCAAAATAACAATGACCCACCTGCATAAATTCAAGCTATTTGAAAATAAAAAAGTTTTTGAAAAGAAAAGAAAAAAAAGAAAGAACTTTGTAGTGAACAAAACAAGATCTAGATTTAAAATTCAAATGCTAAGCACTGACTCATTGATTTTGTTAGAAATTAAAAAGACTCAAATTTGCAAACTTTGCTTAATGTGGCACCTTGCATTATTAGAAATATTCATAGAAATATGATTTAATTTTTTTTTTTACTCGGTTTATTAAACAGGTCGTTAATTTTTTTTCTTTAACGGAAAATAATTGAGTTGGAAATAATTCACTAAGATTGTACTTGGACGATCCTAAGGGAAGAAGAGGAAAGAAAAGAAAAGAGAAGAGAGAGAAGAGGGGGAAAAAGAGAGAAAGAGGGTTGGATGATGCATGACCCAGTCAATGGTGGAGGTAGGAGTCAGAAAGATATCTTAGCTAGCATGTTGACCGAATTTTTTAAAGACAATTGGAAGAATAGAATTAGAAATAATAAAAAGAAAGAAAGGGAAAAGACATGATATCAAAACGGGCCGCTTGATGAAAACCAGATATCGGTCAAAGCATCTAGCCTACTTTTTAATAGAAAGACACCTTATCAATTTGGAAAAAGGGAAATTTTTTTTAGAACAATGAGAACGAAATCTTAATCAGAGAAAAAGTGTCTTTGGGTTGAGGGGAGTGACCGGTGGAATTGTATACAGATTCTGACCTGTTAAAAATTAGAACCCCCACATTGACGAGTGAAAGACAATTTCAATGTAGATAATTAAGATTTTCTGACTGTCGGGTCTGACCAAAAACAAGAGGTGAAAAAAAACGATTGTCTCAGTTCACAGATAGGCGCCAATATTCTTCCCTGAAGTCACATCTAATTAGCGGCAGGCTGTGTTGACAAAACCCAGGTGAGAAAAAGCCAAGATTATCATTTTTTCAGACGTGCGAAAAAAGGCCAAATTAGATTTTGTTTTTAGAACAAGAACGATATAAGCCCGCCATTAGCGATTGATTGCAGGAAAACGCCCAACCAGAGTCTCATTAGCCGCAACGGTCACGTGGCTGCGGAAAAGAAAAGAAAAGAAATGCTCGATCAGGAACCATTGGTCGAAAGCGGGTCACCTGACATACGCGCCTCCCCCACCAAAGGCACTATGAGGAAGTAGGGGTGAAAATAATAGCGATAATGAGAAGACAAATAATGCGACTTTTGAAATTATCGAAAACCCTGACGCCGACAGACCCACCCCGGTTTGCTGCGGCGTCAATAAAAGCAGGACCCCAGTCGACAGAAATCAGTGGAGTTGAGAGTTGCAGCTGGACCGCGGGCAGGATAGAGCCTGAACGCGGGCATCAGGCCCGATTCACTTGCCCCTTTATGGGCAAGAGAATCCTCAGACAAGAAATCCTTCCACCCAAGTCGAAGACAAGAGAACTTCCAGCCCAAGCAGACGAAGAAGGAGATTGCTCGAAGGACGCCGAGAGTTGTGGCAGAGTTACGGGCAGAGTTCAGCCCCGGACGGCAGCGAGAAGAGATCACCTCGACGACAGAGAGTTGCGGCTGAGTTGCGGCAAGAGATCCTTCCAGCCCAAGTCGAAGACAAGAGAACTTCCAGCCTAAGTCGACAAAGAAGAAAAAATACAACTCAAGTCAAGAGAAGAATCAACTCAAGTAATGATCGATAGAAATTGGCCCCAGTGTCGAACCAAACCACACCCGACATACACAATTCTAAAGAGTAGGCAATTCAAATCTTTAGGTTGTGTGATAGAAGCTTGTTATAGTCCACAGAGCGGGTCGGGAAATGAGAACAATTTTGTTTTTATGTAACGGACATTAAGATATAAAAAGGTTGTTACCCTTTTTTTTCATCAGCAATCTTTTTGTCTCGTGAGTTTATTTTCTTTTATTTGTGTTTTGCCACCCCGTCGGACTCAATCTTGTTTGTATCGCCCCAATCCCTGCTGGTCCCGTCTGTCTAAGATCTAAACACAGCGTGGGTAGACAGACCGAGATCGGTACAGTTGCTTTAGTGACCAGGTATTGGAAGCGAGTCGGGAAAGGCGAGGCTGGTGATCATCTGACCAAGGGGTTGAGCGGCACGCTGGGACCCAGGAGGAGCGACCAGGAGGAGCGACGTCACCGTTGGCGCCCGTAATTCAAAGGATCCGACCCTGGGCCAGGTGTGTAACCGTCACATGTGGTGCCGACCAACGGATCAACCCTGAGACAACCACGTCACAAATGGTGCAGTGACCGAGGATTTCAGCCCTGAGAAGACCACGATTTACCGCCGCTGCCATGAAAATTCAGACAGAACTCAGAACCACCCGACCAAAGGAAAAGAAAGAACAGAATCGTCTGTAAGGTAGGACACCTGTTTTGTTTCCCAACCTCGAATGTTGCTGTATAGACTGTCTTTCTCTGTAGACATGTCAGATTATGATTCGATAGAGCAGTGGGGGTGAAGAAGAAGTAGGGCGGGGGTTGTCAGTGGATTTAAGGAAGTTGTTGGGTGACCGAGGGTCCCAGTATTTGATGGCAGCGGGAAGGAGTTTAAAACTGGCTGGCAATCCTCGAGAAGAGCCAACCATCTACGAAGCTTCCGGACCAAGAAACCCTGTATTTGGGTATAAGGATGCCACAAAGGGAAAAAGGCCTGAGTTAAGTGAGGGGGGTTGGAGAACCAACCCACGCTTGGCTTGGGAAGAAAAGACTACTGACCAAAGAATTACCGACGAAGGTACGGCCAGAGCCATGAGGGCCCTTTTTTAACACAGGATGAAACCCGAAATTAGGGCTGCCCAGGGGAAGCTATCGTCATTGGCATTCCCCGGCGGTCAGGGATACGCGTTTATGCAGGCTCAACTGGCGGACCTGTATGTAGAGGCACTGAGCGACGAGGGTGTTCGCCACGACGCATTGAAAGAAGGACCGCCAGACTGTCGGGAAGCGGTAGAGCTGGCCAGGGGAGAGCCAGGGGGTGGGGATAAAGTGAAGAGGGTGGGAAGAAGCAGATACCAAGTCAGGAGGCTGAAGAAGGGGTAGGTGGAAGAACCCCGTGTGGAATCAGAGGGTTAAGGAAGAGGTGGATCGGGCAGAATTATGGGAGAGGACCCAATAGAAGGCATATCGACCAGGCATGGCTTTTATAAGCCCAATGCCGGTCGATACGGGTTGGTCTGCTGACCTGTGGGGCACGAGGACCACAGGGCGGCGGAATGTCCACGAAGTGGGGTTGCTCCCAGACTTCAATCAGGGGACAGATGCACCAGGTGTGGTAAGAAAAGGACACCTGGCCAAGTGGTGCGGGCTGAGGAAGGTGCCCCACCGATATTGTTAACAAAGAAGGCTGACCAAGAGACCGCCCAGGAAAATAGCGGGCCACCCCAGAATTAAGAGGAGGGTGGCCCAGTTAAAAGGAGAGAAATAAAAGCTTGGACCAGTGGGTGGGCGAACCGCTTGAATAGAGGACGGTTCCCCGAGGATAGACACAAGGCCAACCCAGTTAAAAAGGGAAAGAGCAAAATGTTGGACATGTGGTCGGGCAAGGGCCACTTTTAGGGCAAGCTGTCCAGCAAGAAGGTGCTGGTTTTGCAGGAGGCCAGGACACCTGAAAAGAAATCTGTTTTTAAAACGGCCATGGAGACCGGGAGAGGTCCGGCCGGGGTCACCAGGTGCTGGGGCGCAGAACTCCACCTCATGAAAAAAATGAAGGTGATTTATTACTACTGGCGCCTTATGGCTGGTTAACCCAAGGTGGGAACCCAGGAAGAGGAAAGCTCAGGGTGTTCTCTTCTAACGTAAGAGAGAGAACCATCCTGTAGAGCAGAGATAGGTGGTAGAGATGAGGGTGGACACAGGAGCATCTGTGTCATTGATGAGAGAGGAGACATACAGGCGGGTGAAACGGAAGAAAGGTTACGGAAGCGGACATAGAGATCACGCAGGATGGGGCCCCCTGAGATAAAGGGATGGTGAGGCTCCCCGGTGAGGATTGGGAGGGTGAAAAGCACCCAAAACTTTTACGCCGCAACCCCCCGACCTGTGTACAGAGGCAATCTTGGGAGAAGATTGGCTCCGAGCCAGAAGGCCCAGATCGAGTTTTAATCCTACTGTGTTGGTGGTGAACTGCGAGAGAACGCCATTGGGATGCCCACCAGAGGAAGAGATAACCATAGTGGTGGAGGAAGATGTAAAGTTACCTCCTAGGACCGCAGTGTCGGGAAAGGGTAGGCTAATGTCAGAAAAAAAGGTAACGGAGAGGACCCTCTGCAGTTGGTCCCTGTAGAAGGAAAGGGCCTAGAAGATAACGAGGTAACCCTGTGCGAAACGGTAGTGGAGGCAGCCGAGTTAAGCCCATTATGATGGTGAACCAAGCTCAAAAAGACTATAAAGGTTAGAAAAGGGGAGAAGATAGAAAGAGCACTTCCCCCACGAACTCTGAATCGGGTGAGATTCGAGGAGAACGAAGGAAGCTAGTAGAGCAAACAGAAGGAATCTTAGATGAGGACATATTAGCACCGGATCAATTTAGAACCAGAGTGGGGGTCTGTTAAGGAACAATCGAGATGTGGTGGCCCAGTCAGACAAGGAGCTGGGTCAGACCCACACAGTCGAAATGAAAATCGACACCGAGACCACCCTGTGAAATTAAAACCCCACCAACACCTATACATAAAAAACCCCTTGTAGAAGAGGCAGTAGAGGAAATGTTGGAAGCTGGGATGACCGAAGATCGATCTCCCTTGGAGCTTCCCAATAGTAATAG